GTCGACTTCTGACTAAATGGTGCATTGATTTAGAACCCCGCACAGGTGGGTTCTGGCTGTGAGTCAAAACATCCCCCGCCAAAGCATGGTCGCAGTGTTCCAGATAGTGCAGTGTCGCAGTGCATGGTTGTGATTTGGTTCCTGCTCTCTTTTCGCTTTGTTAGTTTGTCGTTGGGACTGCTGTTTTCCATCGAAGCTTCCTCGCTGAGACTTTTGGTAGTTATAGTTTTATGCCCTTTTGGTGTACAACCCCCCTTATGACCACGGGGCGGTCTGCGGAAAGGATTTGACCCTGTCCACCAGCACACTCTCCCCACCAAACCATGCCAGCTTGACTCGCTTGACTCATGGATGTGGGCACAGAAAATGAACAGAATAGACTTGTCTATACCATACCAGACATGGTCAACCTACTGCGGTTTACGGCTCCAGGTTTGGACCCACAGCCACATCCGTTCTTATTCATTTTTCAGGGTCAACCAGGGTGCTCCGGGTCAACCTGGACGCGAGCTGCAGATCTCCGATCGCTTTGGAGGTGAGTAGCTTTGTGAAGGACCAGCTGATGAGCCAAATGACGTGAGGTTGGAAGATGCGAATGGAGAATACCAGAATGATGACCAGGAGTCACGTTCCACGGGGTGGTGACTCCGAAACGTCCCATCCGTCCGGGGCCGGTTCATGTGACACGAGCACCCCTATCCTTTCTTCCGTTCGGAACCGGCATCCCGTCTGTAGACTGCTGGTACTGGTAGACTCTTGATTTGAAGAGGTGTTACATTCCATGTCTGTAGGGGTCCTATTGAATAACAGTCTAGTCTACATGATGGCTGGAACACGTTTGCGTGATGTTTTCCAGTTCCTGGCACATCGCTACCGATCTCGAATCAGAATCATTTTTGGCGGGGGCCCACGAGTTTTTAGGCGCGGGGTGTGGGCAAAGCGTGGACGTTGGGAAGGATTGACTGAGTTGAGTGTAACATGTTCAACATGTATTTTACTGTATCTTGCCGGTGCTGCAAAGTCGATCCGTGAACAAACATGAAAAACATCAGCGTCATCTTGAAGTTTGTAAGGTCATCCACAGATTTCCTATATTAGCTTTTCTTTACACTATTTACTGTGCCTTCCACGGTCGCGTGACCGGCGAACACTCGAGCCACGGAATGCTCGGCTGATGCCAGCCTGCTCTTGGTCCAAATGTACTTCAGACGTGGATCTCCACGGGGCACTTGGATCCAAATCTCGTTGAAGCCGATTCTTCGATCCAAATGATCCCGGGAAATCCATTTTTGGATCTTTGGTGAAATCCATCCCCTAAATCTGCCGCAAGATAGTGTTGCCAAAGATGGGATTGATCTTGGGGGGTGAACCCAGATGGATTCATCCAGTCCACCTTCGCTCACCGATCTCGGCCTGGTGTCGAAAGCTGACCGCATGGATCGCCAGGTTTCCTCACATGGCCCCAGAAGTTTCCGCTGAAGATGAGCGACTGAATCGAAGGGATCGAAGCGTGACGTGACACTGCACAATCATGGCGCGGACAAAGAAGATGATCCAGGGCCCATTACGTGGTTGTTTTGGAAGTCAGTCGATCCGACCAAGTGCGACGTAGGCTTCTAAGCTTCTTGCTTTCCGATCCCAGCCGTGGACAGTTTGTGAAATAAACGTAGCACCGTCAAAAGGCGTGAGCTGGCAGTGATTATATGGCTCATGGGTGGAGAAGCCCATATTGAGCAAATCCTTCACTCAACCACAGAACAATCATTGAAATGTCCGTGCATTGGTGCGTATCAAAGCCTTTGAACCGTTCTTGGGCACATGAGTCGAACCATTTGCCCACTCCGGACCCAGATCCGGGCCTTGACGGCCGACGCCCGACGATTGAGCGTCTCACCCAACATTTCCCTCCGGTCCCTCCGAACGGGGGGGCTGGCCATCGCGCCCGGACGAGCTGCTGGCATCAAGAGGATGATTTGGGCACCCCGTGAAGTGAAACTAAACTTGAATTGTGTGGTTCATTGCTTCATGATGCCTCATGTGTCCACTTGTGAGTGTATGTCAAGGATGTGATAAATTGATAGTCTAATCCAGATTTCTTGTGAAACCTATGAGCTTGACTTGACTCATTCAGGGTGTATACTGTATATAGTATATATATACACATAATTTGATCTGTCTCATGAACTTATTATTGACTTTACTAGTCCAGGATTCCCATCCATCCATAGCCTTCCATGACCTTCCATGGCCCCTTTTCGTCCTACAGATGACTGGCAAGGCAAAAGAGGGCGCATATTGCTCCATGACTGGTCCTGGCAACCGTTGCAAATTTGGACCAAAATCATCAGCGCCCCCCCCAAAGATGGCGCCTTAGAAGACCAGTTTCCTCCACAAACCGCCCACAACAATGTGTTTCTTTCTTCCCATGACTCTTGTGCATATCGCATCTGTAAAGAGGAGCCATGTTCATGGACTTGTGCACCACTTCCATATTCCACATCCCTCAACCCCTGCCTTGCAAAGAGGGCCCCCGAACGAGTGAAGACAGAAGATGGTTCACCCTGTCAGGTGCTGTTTGGATTGTTTGGGGCCTCCCGAATTCCACGCCCCGATTGTTTCACCAGTTCCGAAGGCTGAAGACTTGTGAAAAGGTGGTGAATGCATGGTTGTTCTTTGTTTGCCCAGATGTTCTTCAGGCACTTCTGAAAGACAGAGTTGCTGTAACTCTGTAACTTCAATAATATTCATCGATCATATATTTATATATATATATTTCCTTTTGAAGGATGACCCAAAAGTTCGGATTACCTGGAGCGTCGAAACCTGGAGCAGCTTGATGCTTGGCCAACAGGCGGCAGAAATTGACTTGCAGTCCCCCCTCGCAGGTGTTCATGAAATCCAACAAACATGCAGGTGGCAAAGACCGTTCAAGATCAGTTACCACCTCTCCAAATTCCAATGGAAGTCGACGCTCACCCCTGTTTGGTGTTCAGATGTCATGGTCGGTCATGCCATCCACGCATATAACCATGGTTTGGTTTCAGAGAGGACGTTTCCAAGACACAGTTCAACGACCCGAGTCTTCTCCTCTTGTGGAGGATGAACGCTTGTGCTCCCTATGATGACTCCTCGGTTTTGCAGGACCACAGGACCATTCGCGGACGACAGACTGGGGACTCGTCAAGCTGCTGAAACACCATGAAACACCAAGTTGATTGGTGCAGCGATTTTTGCGGCCACTCCTACCAACCAACCTTTAATGATGCTCGAAGAAGAAAAGTGAGCCCCCTCCAAATATAGATACATATAATCAGGTATAATTAATCATGTCCACCTTTTAAAAAGACGGGGGTCCCTGAAATCGGGGGGTCCAAAATAGGGTCACCTGGGAAGAGCTTCAAAATCAAAAAGTCATCCAGAACAAAAGGATATAAAAGCCTTATTAAACTCGTATAAAAAGTCAAAAAGCCTCCAGATCGAAGGGTCTTCCTTTTCCCCTACAAAAACAATTTTTCGATTACTGATTCTTCATTGGACTACCAAAGCTTTCGAAAGGTGATGTCGCTGTGCCATGCGGTTTTGCACGACCGCGGTGGCAAGTGCGTTTGCGTGAGTCCGTGCCATTGGAGGAAGGAACACCTGCTGATGTAAACGCGACGTGTCATGGTGGATACACAGGGCGGACAGATGTGGGCAGTTACGGTTGTTTTTGGAACCTAATAAAGGAAACTACCCCTAACATCGACCATGTTGGTAGTTGAGTAGCGGCTTGAAAGGGCGGTAATTTAAAAAACACATATACACCGAATTTAGCTTCGGGCGTGGAGGTTTTTTGACTGGGGAGATTTTTTTAAGTCAGTATTTGTTGACCGCTGCTGGAATTAGGTGAGGGAACTTGCTTTGTTTTGTTTTTTGTTTGTTTATGCTGCCATTCGTTAACATCATTCGGCATGCTTGATCATTTTTGGGACCCTGGCCCTTGAAGGAATGTCAATTGGACGTTCTTTTTCCCGGTCTACCTGCAGCCTCGCGCTTCTGAACTCTCCAAGAAAACTGAGAGGGTAGAATGCAGGGCAGCGTTGAAAAGATCACAACAACAGACTGACTTGTTTCATCAAGCTTTTGCGCTGCAAAGATTTCAACTATATATTCTGTATATATATATATATTATATGTAATATATAGAGCCCTTGGCCTGCGGCCTTAAGTGGTCAGATGACAGATCAGCCAGCTTGATTTGAGTCCCCAGCTGATGTGACGTTTCTACAGGATCCACTGAACGCAGGCTGGCACTGTCCAAGAGGCCCATAATCTGGGAGTCAGAATGGACAGCTGACAGCTGCCAGAACGTCTGGAGGGTAGAAATGGCGACTCGTCAGGCGTTGGGCGCATGGCGTGTGCGCGGGTTTACTTTCATGGAAGGGGAATTGGCCAGCAAGCAACAGATGCCCTAGTAGCAAGAAACTACTAGGAACCAAGGGCATAGCTACCAGAAGCAAGGACGCTACTAGTAGTTCCTGGCATTACTACTAGTAGCAAGAAGCTACTAGTAACAAAGGCAATCCAACAGAGACAAATCAATTTTTGGTTTTACGGTTACTGCTACTACTCACGCTTGATATATAGCTCATCATGGTGCTAGCATAGGCACATAGTTTGTGTTTTTTTGACCTAGACGAGCCGACTAGACGTAGCGTCGACATTGTTGAAGATGTTTGACGTTGCGCTTCCGTCTGGAGACGCGCCTTCTTAAAGACGCGAAAAGCGCTCAGCGCTCCACCACTCCACCAGTCCACCAGACGTCAGCGCGCGCGTCCAAAAATCATCTGAAACAAGTCATCGCATGGATCTGAGAATTGGGCCAATGAGTCAGGTGTACAGGAAACCCCTTGTTTGAACCAACAAGGGTTTCCTACAGATGTTCCCTTGAACCAATTCATTGAATGGACAGTTCCATCCAGCCACTCCAAAAAGTAAAGTCCAAATCCAAAAATGTTGGGCGCTTCCACTCCCAAACGCCGTTTCTTGTGCGCGCATGGCGCGACGTCGCATCTACGCCGCGGCCGTGGTGGCGCTGTGCTGGGCCACCGCGGCACCTTTGGCCCTGCTGCGCTCCGAGCTGTTGCGCTTCAGCGCCCCGGCGCTCGCGGCCGAACGACCTCCGCGCAGAAGGTGGACCGTGGTGGGGGAGAGATGCTAGGAGGGACTTTCTGTACATGTCAGGACGGCACGGGCCTTCACAACCTTAAAGTACCTATTAATTCCTTTGGGTAGCAAGGTGTTTGGTATTGTTTGGCCAGCTCTGGGCGAGGGAGTGAGGGTTACCGGGCTACCTCGAGTTTCAATTTGTGTATCGCAGGCATGTTTATCAGTGCAGTTACAAATTAATGTTGCAGCTGCTGGAAGACCTGTGAATGCCAGGAGACAAACGCTTTTTCTAGCTAGCTGATGGTTGTGGTCCTATCAAGAACCATAACGTCTTAGCCTTTCACCATCTATAGAGCCCTATAGGGCCCTTCCGTGCCCACCGGCGCTTTGAAACAGCACCACCGTCGTCACGTCTTCCGCATCCGCGGCAGAAAGACGCTGAAGTACGGCACCCTGCCCGATCAGCTGGGCGATGTATGGGCTCCAGAAGCGCCTACAGGTGCGGTGAGTTGGTCGAAAGATGGAAAGATGAGCGATCCAAAGATGGTAGGCTCGAAGGATGAATGAAACTCTCCGTATATTGAGATTTAAAACCTTTCTGCTAGTTTGTTTAGTAAATCTTGGTGGACCCTTTGTGATTTTGAACGCATCAACCATTCAACATACGTGCCTTTTTCCTACCAACAGGGGCCGTAGTAGGTTCTATAGGTGAATTTAGAAAGCTAGGAAGCTGTACACTTTCTTAGCGCCGGTGGAGCATGCTCTACGCGCTTTCGGGGAGGAATGTCGTGGTTTTCCATGCTTAAGGGGTGCTCGATGGTGCTCCACATGCGACATGTCTTGGTTTTGTGTTTCCCAAGCTCAGCGAATCCCCGTATGTGATCGGCGGATGATCTCGTCGCAATCTGTCGCAAATCCGATGTTTTGTGTAACTAAACTCTAAGTAACACCGATCAACAAGCCATGAAGATGCTGACTGTGTTCATGTCAAGAATGTGGAGCCCATAATCCCGTCCTCCTAATAATAAACACGGCCCCCCCCCCCTATTAAAAAAACCTCAGTCGCATTTTTTCTAATAGGGGGTCCCTGAAATCGGGGGGGCCAAAATAGGGTCACCTGGAAACAGTTTCAAAACCAAAAAGTAATCCAGGAAAATTTTATATAAAATCCTTTATTAAACTCATGTCAAAAATGCAAAAAACCGCCAGATCGAAGGGTCTTCCTTTTCCCCTACAAAAACCTTCATTAGAATAGTGATTCTTCAGTAGACTAACAGCTAAAGCTTTCGAAAGGTGATGTCGCTGTGCCATGCGGTGTTGCATGACCTGCAAGTGCGTTTGCGTGAGTCCGTGCCATTGAGGGAAGGAAAGCCTGCTGGTGTAAGCGCGGCGTGTCATGGTGGAGTTTTGGGGAACCTAATTTAAGAAAAACTACCACCAAAATCGACCATGTTGTAGTTTAGTAGCGGCTTGAAAGGGCGGCAATTTAAAACCAAATATAAACCGAATTTAGGGGTTCGGACGTGGTGTTTTTTTAATTGGGGAGTGTTTATTAATAGGTACTCGGGATTAGTCCCAGAGCAAAACAATCAAGGCAAATCACAACACCAATCCAGCCCAACCAACAAAACAAACACAACCAAGGTTAAATAGAACAATAAAACACATGTTAACTGTCAACTGTACAAATGTTGACCTTCTAGATCACTCCCTGTCCTGATCAGTCCCGTGTTCTTACCGCACGCATCTTACCGCACGCTTGGCTCGGTGCAGGTTTGGTGGTGCTGGTGCACGGTGGCTTTTGGCTGCCACAGTATGGGAAAGATTCTCGGTGTGGGTGGGCCAGATGGTGGGGTGAAGTTTTTGTTTGGGATGTGTGGGGCATCTCATCATGCCCTGAAGAACCGACTATAAAGAGTTTCGATTCTTGGAGGTGCCTAAAGAGAAAGCTCCGACTTTTACTTCACTAGAGCAAATGATACTGTAGTCTTTCGACTTTTAGTGTGTAGATTATGGGTGTGAGTGAGTGTTAATCCTGCAATGTAGACTCTTGATATATTTCATCCTCAGATTATTATTCATCAGCCGTCTACATCACATGCGAGTGATTTCTTTCACTGTTCAACACTGTTCCGTGTTGTTCAATGCATATTTTTTTGACATACTACCCCCTCACCAACCACATTGGAGCAACATCGAGTATGCGTGGGAGAAACCGTGAACCCTCAGTGTGTGAATTCTGGCACGTTCCATCCCCCCTTTTTCTGAGGAAACATAGGTTGTGGCCCAGGCTGAACTCACAAGGGAGGGAGGGAGGGAGAGGGAGGGAGGGAGAGAGAGAGAGATACAGAGACACAGACGGAGACAGAGACAGAGACAGAGGCAGGAAGGAAGGGAGATTAAGTAGGTGTTCACTGCAAATTCTACAGTGCCCAACTTACTTTGAAGGTGCAGGTGTTACGATGTGCCACGAAGCGCTATGGCTGTGGGGAGGGGGTCACAAACTACTGGTCTCCATGTGCGCTATGTCTCAGACAGCAATGGACCAGACGCGGAAACCTGGTGACGGTTGTGGAGAACGGATTTGGACGAATCCATTTTCGGCCCGGTAGACCTTGAACCACTCAAATAAGTACAGCAATCTGTACAAGACCAAGACTATTGTTGAGCAATTGTTGAGCAGAATCCCTGATGTCCCCAACGGAACTTCGCCCTTAGATAGCACATATATGGACAGGTCGCCGCAAAGCTGCAATAGAAAGCAGCACCTGAGAAGACTGAGCCAAGAGTTCTGTGGGGATGAATCCATAAAAACTTGCACGGAATCATGGTCCCAAAAACCTTTTTTCGAATCAATCCACGCAAAAAGACAAGTTGCAAGAAAAACAATATTTTTTGTCATGGTTGCTGAGGGCTCATGGTAGGGGTTGTGCTGGTGTACCCGGTGTACCTGTCCCATATGCACGGTGTACGTGATGCGTCTTTGTTCATTTCTAGATGAGCGCACGTCTGGATTCTGATGTTTGGTACGTTCGTCTTACTGGTGCCGCAGTGAAACCAGTAAGATAAGACGATCACGGAGCCATCTTGCAATGAAAGAGACAGCTTCCTTTCGTTGCTCAAGGATCTGATGACAAAGCTCGCATCGGCTCCTTGGACAAGACGAGAGCAAGCTGGGTCCTGTCGACGGGGCATGTTTGGGCGCCTTAGACATATGGCCAACCAATGACATGCCAAGCAGGGATTCGACAATGTAATGTTACCGAACAATTTACAAGGAGCCGATACAGTACAGTAAATCACGAAAGGTAGCTTGAGCTACCTGAGTTCTCCTTGCTTTAGCAAAAATGTATTACAATCAGGAGTTGGGATTGTGCATTGAGTTTGGTCCTGTAAGAGATGATTCTGTTCGTCACAGGGCCCCCCTGGATCAAATCCCCCCTGCGCCGGTTCACGCCGTCATGGACTTCTACGAGGGTTACTTGTGATTGCCTGCTACCTTTCGTTCACCCCCTCTTCTCTCAAGTCTTTGTGCTGGGAGGACAGCTAACGGATTTGAGGATGTATATGTAGCCACTTTCCTGCGTCTTTCGCCAACCACCGGACGGGGTTTTCATTTGTTGCCCGGTTCCACCCGGCCTAGGACCTGATGGCCCGCAACTGGGCAGCGTGGAACGTAGAGTATCGCCGTGTCGATGGTCCGGGCTGGCGGAATGCCAACTCCACCTTGGAGGACTCCCCATGGCGAACTCCCGCCACTAGGAGGTCTGTTGAAAGACAAGGTCATCTTTTGGAAGATCACGAGCACGAGCACTCAGATCACAGCATTGCCCTGTGTTTGCTTAGGGTGAGGTTTATTGTCCTTGTGGGTGAACCCCTTCCGGGGAATATGGTATAATTATGGTATTTTGTGAGGTTTCCCAAGCAAATCCAAGATACAACTGCACCCCAGTCTTTGCAGGATATCACCGCAGCCTTGCGCTTTTTGGACTCCCCGGAGTTTCCCTTCAAGGCAGCGGTTTGTCGTCCGTGAGATGGGAGAGGGATGAAACATGTGTGTAAAATGGGTGGTCATATTTTTGAAGGAGAGGCTCTTGATCAAAACATGTTTCCCCTCGAAAGGCCAAAGAGGTGAGGTGATTTTGTTTGGACACTGGACCATCTGGACACTGCGACTCGACCACTCACATTTCATAGATTGCCGTCAAGTGCATCCAGGAAAACCAGAGCAGATGAGGTCAGGTCCGGACTTGTCTTGCCGCCCACGCTGCAGGGATTGCCAGTGGCGGTTGTGGGACATTCTGCTGGTGGGCATTTGGCGCTGCTTTGCATGATTGGGATTGACATTGGCCTCATTGGCAGAACACGTGATCCAGTGTTCCAAAAGCATCAAGTGTTTAATCTAGTGGGCCTTTTTTTCGCTGATCGTCCCCATACGACATGGCAACAAAAATGATGCGATTCAGCTTCGTGATCCTGTTTGCTTCCGCTTCCTGGTACTGTGCATCAGTCCTTGACCAGGCTTTGGTCGCAACTGCGCCCCATCCGAGTGACCGACTGCCGTGCTGTTGTCAGTGTGGGTGGCGTTTTGGACTTGTGCGACGCAGATGAGGAGGCCCTGGGCGGCGGCGCTGGGGCTGTGGCACGCTTTTTGGGGCACCTGCGCTGGCACCATGAGACAAGGAATAAGAGAAGACTCGAACTCAAGCTGAAAGTTTGGGTGAAGGCACCATAGTGGCAACTTACAATGTCCTACAGTCTAAGCCCAATATCCGATGTACTAGTTGGCCTAGTTTGTGGCGCATGCTTCCAGCTGTTACGTTCTATTACGTTTGACAATCTGTTTTGGGGACAGTTGGTCTCGCGCGATGTGCATCCTCAAATTGCATATGTTCATGATGTTCAAAAGTATTTTTTGCCAAATTGTACAATTCTCTCACGCGGCTGTCATTGAAGGAAGGGTGGGAGCTTGTCTTCTTAAATGCCCATGCAGTGTTTGGTATGGTCAAAGCCCAAGAAATGCTTGTTACCTTGGGTGGTGAATTTGTTCCGCCTGAGGATGCACAATCCCTTGCATGTTCCCCTTACAAGGGCCTGGGTTTCAAGACTTTCGGTGAATTGACCTCAATCCAGGGAATCCGGTCATGCAATGCATGTTTCGTCCGAATCTGGAGAATCTAATATTGGATCTACGTTGTAGAATTGTTCCTATAAGTGAAAGTCCACCACTTTGCTCTCAAAAGTTAGACACGTCTCCTCAGGTATCGCGATGTCAGCAGCCTCAAGCGTGACGTGTCTCCCATTGCCGCTCGGTAATCTCCGCAAGAAGTTGTGCCGTCCAACCTTGGGAGGTTCGTGCGGAAAAAGGTAGCCTTGGCCCTGGCTTTTAAACCTACGGCGCGTGGTGGTACCCGGCGCATACCGCGAGCGTGCTACGTGTGACGGAATCATCGAAGTCACTAGTGATCCTGCCACTGTCATGGTGTTGGCATCGCGCCAAGGACATGTTGCCTCCCTGCCTGGTGAACTCACTTCCTCCCGAGCTTGCACGAAGGGGCACCGTCCCTGAACCCCGCATCGGACCGATTGTGTGGCGGGGAGGAACAAGATGCGCCCCTTTGCAGTCCAAGGGGCACGAAAAAAGGCAATTAAGTTGATCAGAAAGTATCAAAAAGAAGACTTACCACTTGCATGGACCAGAGCCACAGATCTACACTGTTTGCATTTTGAGTTTGGAACTCTCTCTAATAAGTGAGCTTTTGGTTTCGTGTACCTAAGACTAAGCATGGAGGCTTCAGGGATGGACCATGAGGCCTCAAGAAAGTGATGCCACCGCCATAAAACGAGAAGGTCCTCAGGGTTGCAGGGCCTCTGAAGAGGGCAACAAACCCTTTGAACAAAGTACAACACAAGATGTGCAAACACCTCTCAGAACCAAACAGACTGTTCACTGTTCTCCCAAGGCTAAACATTTTGGTGGGCTTTGAATGGTGCAAGTCAGAATAGAACTGTGATGCTGGTCCTCCAAACGGCCCTTGGTCTGTCAAATTTTAGGGAATTGAGACATCAAACCCTTCCACATGAGGGTTTGAGGGTCCATGAGCGCTTGGGTGGCACCTGCAAGCTGGACCGGAGGATTGGTGCATGGCAAGCTGGATCAGGTGGTCCCATCGCAGCAAAGCGTGAGATTCCTGGCAGCTCCACCGCACCGAATTCGAGGGACATGGGGGGTGGTTTGGCACAAGAGGGGGCATGCATTCGGTGCAGAGTGTCTCTTTTCCATGCAAGTAAATACATATAGATAGATAGATAGATAGGTAGGATTGATTGATTGATTGATAGATAGACAGATAGATAGATAGATAGATACATATATATATAGCATAATATAATAATATACACCAGCTTCTTCAAAGTGCCTTCGAATTGAGGTAGCTTAGCATCGAAAGTAAAAGAGGGAACTTAGGCTATGATCTTGCAGCCAAGTGACCTTTTTGATAAGTCTTGAACATCAAATAATTTGATGTATAAGTGCCTTTTTGATATACATTCCACTGGATGGTGGAAAATCATGAGCCAGTTGGCCACAGTATCCAGCTGTATCACCACCCCCACCCAAGGATTCCAAGATAGGAGGGTGGGAAGGGTGGGGCAGCGCTTCAGCTGGCCATCGCAGAACACCTGGCCCGAGGCATGAGATGAAGTCTGGGCTGACAGGGACATGCAGGAACCATGTGCATGACATGTCCATGGCCATGCCCAACATGTGATGGATCATGGACCTATGCTAGATCTTCAGTGATCAGGGTTGGTTCGACCACCAGCCATGGCTGATGAATTTGGTACCAAATTGAAGGACCTCACCACGGACGGACGGTGCCTTTGCTTATGATCGTGGATCATTGAGAGATCTTGTTGTTCAGATTGTCATGGTCTAATAGATCTTGTTGGCCCGAGGCGACTTCGGAAGGCTATGCAATCTCAACTTCCGCCATCAATCAAAGAGAATCAAGAATCAGTACCGGGGGGAGATCTGAGGCTGACTGGCAACTCGTGGCTTAGGAAAGCCTTTGATGATGCCCGATGCATCAGGGTGCCAAGAGAAGCTGAAGTTCGTAGAGTGATAGGTCAGCTTACCAATATCTTGGATATTTGCCCCTTTGATCTGGCTCCCAACACCTTTTCTATTGTGTGATTTATGCTGGAGTGGCTGCAAGATCAAAACCCTTCCCACTTTTCGATGCTATAAACTTCCTCAATCAGAAGGCACTTTGAACAAGCTGTTTATATGCAAATTACACCCAGGTCCCGTGCAACGTAAAGTTGATCGAGATGAATGGATCAAACAGCAGGCAACTTGCATGGATTGATAATCCCAACTGTGTTTTGAGGCGCTCCATAGGCCTAGCTATAGTACGTCTAAGGCTGCACGGTGCCATCGGGTGATTCTTCGCCACAAGAAGATGACTAGCAGGCCTCGATCCACCACCAGCGTTGGCGCGACCAGCTCGTAGCTAGGGCCTGCATATGTTCTGAATGTCGAGCGCATGAATTGATTTGGTGGGGCCCATGGATCTGTTTTTGGTGGGCGAACTCAGGAATCCAGATGAAGCTGATACCTTGCCATATGATATTGACCCCCTGACCGATGCAGCTATGTCCCTTTGCTGCTGTGGGTTTACATATTTTCATTCGATGCCAATTTCATTCAATTTCGAATCACTTGGCTGCAAGATCAAAGCCTAAGTTCCATCTTTTACTTTCGATGCTAAGCTACCTCAATTCGAAGGCACTTTGAAGAAGCTGGTTTATATGAATGAACTGGCACATATTGATCTAGTTCTGCTGGCCACGATCTATAGGCTACAATGCGGTTCACGACCTGGCCCGTCACAGCGTGAAGTAGTCCAAGAAAAGCTGGAAGAAGTCCCAACCACTGACGAGGTTCGCTCAGGGTTAAGCTAGCTTATAGTTTTCAATCTTGGCCATAGTTCGAGGTATATCATATATACAAGACTCCACTGCATCTTTTTGGCACCGCCACTCAGCCCCTTTGCACGCTTTGCAGGACAGTGAAGATGATGAAGATAAAAAGCTGGCAGGCAAAAAGCGCAAGGCTGAGGATTCAGGAGAAGAAGGGTCTTCGGAAGAGGGTTGTGAGCAAGATGATGCAGAAACAAGCTCGGAAGAAGAGGATGAGAAGGAGCAAAGTGTAAAAGCTGCGAAGGAAGCAGGATGCGAGAAGGAGGTTGAGGATGAGAAAGGACAGGAGTCTGACCCAGAAGAAAGCTCAGGAGAGGAGAAAGCAAAGGAGCAAGATGACGCAGAGGACGAAGACAGTTCAAGTGTGTCCAGCGATGACGAGTCAGAAGGAAGTACAAAGGACAAAGAGGATGCAGAAGAGGAGGCACAGGCAAAGCTCCCAAAGCCTGCAGAGGACGCAAACTGCGATGAAGAACCAAAAGAGGCAGAGAAAGCAAAAGGACATAATGATGAACCTGAAGAAAGCGACAATGATAATCGCCAGGATGGTGAAGAGGAAGCTGAGAAGCATGAGGAGAAACACGAGAAGGAAAGCGATGAAAGCGATATAAGATCTGAGAAGAACGGCTCAGAAGTGAGCTTGGATGATGAGGAGGAGGATAAGAATGAAGAGAGGGAGCAAAAGAAAAATGAAGGCGATGAAAGATCTGAGATGAGTGGATCAGAGATGAGCTCAGAAGAGGAGGATGCAAAGTCAGAGAAGGAAGAAAAGGAGCAAAACAAACACGAAGGCGATGCAAGATCTCAGGAGAGTGGCTCAGTGGTCAGCTCAGATGAGGAGGATGAGAAGGAAATGAAGGAGCAAAGAAAGGATGAAGGTGATGAAAAAGCGCAGAAGAGTGGCCCAGAGGTCAGCTCAGATGAGGAGGATGAGAAGGAACAGAATGAGCAAAGAAAGGATGAAGGCGATGAAAAAGCTCAGGAGAGTGGCCCAGAGGTCAGCTCAGATGAGGAGGAAGAGAAGGAAGAAAAGGAGCAAAGAAAGGATGAAGGCGATGAAAAAGCTCAGGAGGAGCAAAGAAAGGATGAAGGCGATGAAAAAGCTCAGGAGAGTGGCCCAGAGGTCAGCTCAGATGAGGAGGATGAGAAGGAAATG